CCCCCCCCCCCCACCCCCCCCCCATTAGTTTAAGGGAAAAGAGTTCATCTTTGACCAACCCCCCCCCCCCCCCCCCCCATACAGACAACATACTTGATTTACTTGTCACCAGTCACTCCAATTACGTTTCCACTTGTCTGCTGAAGACTTGTGTAAGTATTTGTAATGACAGGTGATTTGTACCAGGATTCCAATATCTCCCCAAGTTTTGGACCTCTTGCAAACGGAAACACGATAAGAGAGTACTAGTATTTGATGAGATACACTCGGAATTGTAATCATAGTTTTGAGGGATTGAGAGACGTTGGAACTTGCATTCGGTTTGGCACAGTGTGAAAATGTTCTCTATCCCCTGTATTATCCCCCTTTCTTGTTTTACGTATATAAACATGCCCAGCTAAACGAGGTGCCCCCCCCCCCCTCCAGATCCCAGCTGTCATGCCCCACTTTATACCTCCACCTACAGTCAACGAATTCCATGTCTTCTCAGTGCAAATGTCCAAGTGATACTCTCTCTGTATTCTGTTTGTCTTCCTATTTCCAGTCGTGATCCGTGGATGTCTTGCCGGCGAGACCAACGTCGTCCCAGTCATCAACGGCTGCACCAGAAATGCCAATGGCGAAGTTGTCTGCTCCTGCGCCGCCGGTCCAGTCCCATGTAACGATGACAACATGGCCCCATACTACGGTGAAAAATACAGCTCTGGCTACGACGGTTACGGTAAAGGCTACGGTTACGGTCGTCCCTCTGGTTACGGCGGTAGCTATGGCTACGGTCGTCCCTATGGCTACGGTCGTCCCTATGGCTATGGAGGCCCTTACGGTTACGGCAAAAAGGTTTATTAAGTTCACTGATAATAGGGTTCTCATTAGCTTTCGGGTGTAATATGTTGTAGGATCACTCCTATATCTGGTTTACAAAAATAAAGTTGAAATCTCAGCTATAAAAGATACGTTTGTTATCATTTGTGTAATCTCTCTCTCTCTCCTCTCTCTCTGTTATATATTTATTTATTGCGAGCATACCTAGCTAACAGGTGCCCCACTAAAACACCATTTTACAATCTCTGTTCAAAATGTTGTAGATGTTCACAAAAAGCAGGTCTCAACTGTCGCATTCGTTCTCTTCTAATGTCTGCACTTACTCGTATGTCGATAGGGCACACAACAGGTTAATACTTTAACCCCGGGCCGGGCGACAATCCACTTCTTCAGATCCTTGCCTAAACTATGATCAACAGTTATGGAAATTCTATAAATATTATATCAAATTACCTGAGCTTTTTTTAACTGGTCAGATATCGCATAACTTGCTAAATATAACAACACATTCACAGCAACAGTAACGAAGTAATTTGTAAAATATTTGTTCAGGCATTTCCAGGCGCGGGATATAAATTATTGACTAAATAAATCCATTAATAAAAATGTACTTGTGGTTAAATGTTACAAAATGTGTTATAGTGAGAATTCATTGTGTATTAGAGCCGGTTATATAGCATCACATTATAAGTTGGACGAAATTGGCCTTCGGCAGAAAAGACAAAGTTGAAGAGAAAAAAGTACAGAGATATTGGAGAGAGAATGAAAATCATGCATCGAAAATCTTTGATGCGGCTTGGAGTGCTGCACGGGTGAAAATGTGTCCTTCTTCAGTGCAATCTCATTGCCTTTACAGATCAAAATTTTACANCCCGGTTATATAGCATCACATTAAAAGTTGGACGAAATTGGCCTTCGGCAGAAAAGACAAAGTTGAAGAGAAAAAAGTACAGAGGGATTGGAGAGAGAATGAAAATCATGCATCGAAAATCTTTGATGCGGCTTGGAGTGCTGCACTGGTGAAAATGTGTCCTTCTTTAGTGCAATCTCATTGCCTTGACAGATTAAAATTTTACATCTCTTCTAGACAAAAGCTGTAGAGATAACAACACTAAAACTATGCTTAAACGCTATGAACCAGCTTTATGTGAACGATATTCGTGACAATGTCGATTTATGAGCTGCGCTTACCGGCAAGTAGCAAAAAAAAAAAAAACTTTGACAATCCCTCACTCACCCATTAAACTAGACGCATATCATTAAATCTCACCAGAAAAAAAACGCGAAATGAGAATACACTTTTAAAGACAATTAGTTCAGTTAACTGGACTATGGTTTAAAATTAAAACCGTCCCGGAGTGAACTGCCTTTGATCCTGTTGTGCTCTTTAACGTCATAGGTGAAGCCAGACAAAATTTCAGCATAAAGCAAAGTGATGGCAAAAAAATAATAATAAACAAATAAACAATAATAATAATAATCTATCTAGGAACGCACCGTGTCGGCTTCTTAAACATGGCTTCATAAACTTTAACGTTGATGATTAGACCATGGTCGGGGACTGGCGTTGTGCCGGAGGAAATATATTTGTACGGCACCCGGGTCATCAATTGTAATTGCATATATATACATGTAGATCCAAATTTGCCTCCACCGTGACAAGTTAGAAAGCTTCTATTTGATATAAAGCCTACCAACGAAGCTTCTGCGGCTCCGTGATAACTCCGCTGTCTTGGACACAATTAGACACTTATACGTGGGTTCGTATTTTAGAATGTTATAAGTAGTATTTTTTTCCAAAAGGAAAATTCTAAAAATTGTGTTTGATTACTTTAAACGGGCGTACAAAGAGGTTTTAGGTGAAATTGAAAATGATACGCAAAAACAATACTTTCAAAACGTCAAACACTCCGAATAAACAATATCTATTTCAAATTTAACGTCTAACACGCGCCCAGTACGCAGAAATAAAGAATTGAAAATCGCATTCAGATCCCGTGATTGTAATATACCTTGTCACGTGACTCAGATACTGGCTTTTGAATGAACGGGAGGGGGAGGGAGGGGGGGAGAAGTGTAGGAAAACTGCTCAACCTACTTTCCATCGGTGAAGGTCATGTGGAAAGGTCAGCACTGGTCAATCGGTAGTCATCAACATCCATTGAAACGGATTCAGGCCC